CGTTCTAGTTGCGCAATATATTGTTCAGCATATTCTAACTCCTTTGGGTTGAGGCGGTAGGGCGGCGTGAAGCACACCGGAGGGTCAGGCACTGTGGGTAACGAAACAGTGTAGCGGCACTGCCGCTCCATCTCCTCGATGCGAGACGCGAAGCAATCGGAGTAGCTATCAAGCAGGGCTCGCGCGCGGGCACGCTGGGCCGGAGTTAAGTCCATTCCGATGTTGAACTCGAACGTTAAATCAACAGGACGGGCCGGCGTGTGCGGCGGCGGCAGTTCCGTGAAGCCAGTTGTTGTTGCGGCAAGTGGCGCATCAGGCCAAGTGGAGAGGGCGCCGGAGGCAGCTTGTTTATTTACAGTGGTGGGCGGCGGGGGCGGAGAGGGCGTCCGCCCTGCCTGGACCTCGGGCAACCCGGCGGAGCTCGTGAGGGCAGCCGCAAGGGTCATATCGTCGGGGTCCAGGTGGCCCACTGTCTGGCCGTCAGTTAGGCAGACAGACCTGTCACTTCCGTTAAACAAAGCGACTGTTGTTGTTCCAACGGGCAGAAGGAACTGCGTGGGGCCGGACGCGAGCGACTGCTGGAGACTCGAAGTGAGCTTCAGCAGCGCGGCGTCCCGCGGCGGAAACGGGTGGAATCTTACACAAATAATGGTGACTGAGCCGGGCTCAAGGCGACGGGCCTTGACGTTTACGACTCGGTGTGAGGATGTAAACACTGCGGCCACGTCGATCATTTCGAGGCCTGTCGAGATATCGAAGCGAGTGGGCAGAACACGAGGCATGTGTTCGTGCGTATGATCGCGTCCTTGTGTTTCAAATGTACACGTGTCGTTACGAAAGTCGAGGCGGGCCTTCGAGGCGTACAGAAACGTCAAGCCGAGAATGACGTCGCGCGCAAGGTTTGCACACACGTAAAGCGTGTGAGGCATGCTGAAGGTCTTGCAATTGATTGTCGTCGATACGGCGCCTGTTATTAATATCGGGGCGCCATCTGCTGCCGCTAATAACGGAAGTTTTATATCCGTCCGAATTAAATCAGAGGGAACGATTTTCTCGTGGCAGAGGGAGTAAGAGGCGCCCGAGTCGAGAAGAGCGTTACTCTGCTTGTTAAAAATCGTGATGGGTAGCGTTAGCTGCATGCGCGGGGGCGGGCAGGGCGCTACGGAACACGAAGTTCCAGTCGGCATGTTGGTGAGGCGCGAGGGGGAGAGGGAGGGAGGACGAGGGCGCGTGTAGCGCGCGCGTGGCTCACGCGGCAGCGAGTCGGGACCAGGCGGCGAGAAGTGGCCTGGGCGACGAGGGGGTGGGGAGAGACGGCGGTCGTCGTGGGCACGGTGCGCGCGTGAGGCTCGGCGTCGAGGTGGGGACTGGCCGTGACGCTGCGGAGCGGCGCGTGTGTGGCGTTCGCCTGGGTGGAGTATGTGAGACGAGTCCCACACGTCCTCCCCTGCGTCGCTGCCATCCGACAAGACTGCGAATCTGTTTGCAGACTCGAACGAATGCGACGGTGAGGCGGTGCGCTGCGGCGACGGCAAGCTAGGACGAGGCGCCGTGCGTTGCGGGGGCGGCGTGGGGCAGGGCACAGCGCGCACCTGCACTGGAGACGGGGCTTTAAAACGGCTTCCTCTCGAAACTGTAGCGAGGGGAGGCGGGGAACGAGGCGGGGACGGGCACGGCGGGGCCAGGCGCAGCGGAGGCGAGCGCGGCGCTGCGGCCTGGCGAGCCACCGAGGCGTAGCTCGGGGCCGGCTGCATTTGTGGATGGAAGGGTTTGTAAATAGTTTTTGTCCATCCGGAGGGGACCGCTTTTAAATGAATACGCAGTTGGATCGGAGGGGTCGCCGAGAAATGCTGGACCCCGGTGGGTCGGTAAACCATGATGTGGTATCCGAACAAGTCACATAACGCTTGGATTTCGGAGGCGGTCGCATGAGATGACGTGCGTGACATGAAGTCCACGTATTTTTGGACTGAGAAAATACCCAAGTCACGCTGCACGGTAGCTCGGCACTTGAGCCAGTTCTCGGCAACGTGACGCACGGCGAGGCGACGAAGGCCTTCTGCGTAAAACGAGTCGGCATAGTCAAGTAAAGCTATGCAGTGGAACAGGCTGCTCGCGTCCACTGGGGCAGGAAAGGTAACAATACTATCGTAATTGAACGGAGGGGCGGGCTTCCCGGGATGGATGACGCAAAGCAGGCCGGGCGCGCCTCGAGCGCGCCCGTCCCTTAGTTTTTTGGTCTAAGGGAACTCGAAAGAACACACTCGGAATCATAATGACGGCCTGTGCAGAAGTTGCACGAAATGCGCGCTGGAGCGCGAGGGGCACCATTATCGGAAATATTTGGTACCCCAAACTCGCTTTGGACTCCCGGTGAACGGTAAGACGGGTTCGTTTTGCGGGGTGGCGTCTGGAAATCGACGCGGCGGCCGCCCGTGCGTTCCGACGTGTTCGCGTAATTGCCGCGAGGCGGGGGCTGACCACGCATGTCATTGGAACGGCGGTATGAATCATTGTTATTGCGCGGACCGGGCGAGTAGTGGCGGGCACCGCTTTGACGGTCCCATCTCTGGGGCTCGGCGCGACGGGGGCCGTCTGGATTCCAGCCTGGGGATGGGGGTCGGCGCGGGCCACGTCTATCGTAAACATCACGGCGGTCCTGGCGGCCTTCGTACGGAGGGCGGCGCGGGGCGGAGTTTTCGTAAACATTACGCCGGTTGGATGGCGTTGGGCGGTCCAGGTCGTGGATCGCATGGACCGTGGCCGGCTGTTCGGCTCGCAAAACTAACGCCTCAAGTTTGGACAAGACACTGTCCAATTTATTATCAATGGCTGGCACGGCCGGCGAGCTCACCGCTGGGGCCGAAGGCTGTGCCACCGCCGGGGGCGGAGGCGGCAGTCTGATCACAGGGGCACTCGGGACCGGCAAACCTAGCGCCTTGAGGCGGTCCATGGAGATGTCGGTCGGAGTAGCCGTCAAGGCGTGCTGAGCGTGCGTACGGACCGTGCCTTTATAGGCGGCATCCAAAGCGGTCACTTGGCGGAGAAACGACGGAATATCGTTATAATCGGAAGGACGAAGCGCGGTTGACAGGTAGAGGGGCAAACCGTTATGAAGATACGCGCGCTGCTCGGCTGGGTCTAAAATACCAGCCTTTTTACACAGATCCAAGACACACTGAATGTATTGTGGCAGTGTCTCCGTATCTGATTTGACGCGGCTTTGGAGCGTCTCGCGGAAACTGTGCTTATCCAATTGGTTGGAAAAGGCTTCGAGCAGTTTAGTTTTAATGTATTCATAACGGGCTGCGTCACTACGCCGTTGTGGTTCGCCATCGAGCATAAGGATTTCGCGTTGTACCAGAGACAAGGCACCTTTCCTGCATTGGCTTTCGAGCCAAAACAAGCGCTGAGCATCCGTAGTATCGGGATAGGCGTTTAACGCACGTTCGAGGCGAGCCAGGAATGCCTCGCAGTCCTCCTCTAGTTCGCCCGAAAACGAGGGCAAGTGAGACTGCAGGTACAGTGGAGCGTGGGCCATGTCGGGGCCAGGGAAAGGCGGCGGAAGCGGCGGGACGTTGATCGCTTCAGGATCGGCGTAATTAACTTCGCAAGCACTAGAATGTTGTAGTGCTAATTGTAATACCTTTAGAACGACACTCTCAGTAACGGCTGGTACACCGGTAACGAGATTATGAATTAAAGTTAGATTAAAACGGATATCAGTTTGAGTGCGGTCTGGTGCCTGGAGCACTAGAAGTAGGCGCGTCGGAAGCCTGTTACTTTTAGGATGATTTAAACTTTTAAATAGGGCAACAGCACGCGTTCGGCCGTCAACCTCGTCGGCTGGGGCACTATAAGCAGTGCGGAGCGCGGTGTAAGAGAACAATATTTGCTGAGCGAAGTGAAAAGCGTGACGGTCAGATAGACGTGTCTTATTATTTAAAACGAAATACGGATATTGCGTGGGATTAACCTCACAGCACGTAACCAGAAGATTTCTAGCCTGAGTCGCGATCGCTTGGGCTTGGCCCGCCATTGGCCATCGGAAAGAAAAAACGCAAAAAAAGGGTACGGCACGATACACAGTAGAAATAACCTCCAAAAAAAAAAGGGGGTAGCGCTGGCTACCAAACACTCACACAACACAAACCAAGTGAGGCCGATGCACCACGGAAGGTGATGAGTTAGGTAGGAGTAATAAAGGCCTAACTCGCCCAGGGTTCTCTTGGTTAATGTGTTGATATGAATGCAGGCAGGATCAGCAAAGGTACACTCCACTTCTGTGATGTCGGTTTATTACCCACTATCGTTGGTACTCACAAGTTTTGCAAGGCGTATACAGTGGTTGAACAGGGTAGCGGTGTAACACACAGATGGGCAGGGGTTCCCCTTGTGGCTGGCAGGCTTCTAGCAGACGTGACTCGGACGAGGATCGGAGACTGACTAGCTGACCTCGAGTCCAGCTCACCCCTTTAATTTATAGAAAGCTTCCCCGGAGGGGAGTGAAAGGAGAAGGGGGAGCTGCTCAGGAAAAGTGGGGAAAGGGAAGGAGGTTCCCTCCCTTCCGACTCGAGGTCCAGCGGGGCAGGGGCTACTCCGAATAGGATTCCCAGAAATGAACAGCTGTAGCCTCTGCCCCCCGTGACAATTGAATAACAGACGTTACTGACAGAACGGACGCATCCCTTGTTTACCCATATGTTGCTTATCACGGGCCTCAGCGCAACGGTGCCAGTTTCAAGCGAATCGGAGAAGTTCGGACCCGGGTTCAAATCCCAGTGGGGTATATTTTGAACATTCTTTTTATTCGAGTTTTTGCATTGTTTCTTGTGTTTTTTTGGGGGCGCTGATGACGAAAATAACGTCTATTTCGACCCCAGACACAGGTTTAAACCCGTCAGGGTTAAACAAAGGCGGAATTCACACATTTGTTAATGTACGGGACGGGCCAAAGTTGCCGATGTATATCGCTACTTTTCCTGTTATTGTGTCCATAGCGAGAGCCCTGTTCGCGAAGATGGCTCGCCCTCCAAAGCGCCGTGCTGCAGGCGTCAGTCAAGATGCAAGAGACCGTGTTTCCGGTGCTGCCTGGTCTTCTTGTCATGGTCTTCGTGATGCCCATGTGTTGCACCTTGGAGGTTTGCTTTCTGCTCTGCGGCAAAAAGCTACGGAAAATTCTGTAAACAGCATATGGTAATTCTCCGTAGGCTCTTACAGCAGTCTCCATAGGACCGTACAGTGTTCTCCGTATGACCTTACACTATTCTCCGTAGGACCTTACAGTATTCTCCGTAGGACTACAGTCTTCCAAGTGCTACGGAGAAGACTCTGCGGTCCTGCGGAGAACAATGTACGGCCATACGGAGAATACTGTAAGAGCCTACGGAGAATATTGATAAGAGGGCTACGGAGAATCCTGGCAAAAAAAATTAACAGATTTTCCGTACCTTTTTGCCACAGTGTGGCCGCCTCCCCGTCCGACAGAGGGCCTTTTAGGACGCACCACGCAAACACTTCTAACGTCACTTTGCGCATTTGTACTTCGCACTTTGAAAAAGTAAAAGATAAAAAAGAAATAAATGTGAAAATTTTCAAAAGTGTAGCATCACTCTGGAGACAGTTTTTGTGATTTACATCTTCACGTTGGAATGGACTACGGAACCATTATTACATAGTTCTCCCAAACAAGGCGGAATTTAGAGACAAATCAAGTGGAGCTGAGGTCTGCGTGGAGTCTGCATTTCTGTGGTACACTTTCGGAGTTATCTCTTTTTTCCAAAAAGTGATGGGGATTTAAGTTGAGTTGATTCTTTTTACACAAGACTCATATAGACACAAGTTGAGTTATCTCCTTTTGTGCAATGGAGTTAAGTACGTGGATTTCGGTTGAGATACTTCCGTTTTCCGATAATATTTACACAGTAAAAGGGGTCAAGTTTAGTTGTATCCATTTTTTCTGTGGATTTTCTCCCAAACCGTTAGGAATTGAGTGATCACCCAATTGTTTCGAAACAATTTGGTGTGATGATGCAAACCATCCTGAGGCACAACTAGAAGATAAAAACTCAATTAGGAGTTAAGGGGGGAGACTCGTCATTCTCCGTCAAAAAATCAGATTTTCGTTTATGAGTTTTTTGAATTCTTTGTGTGGAACCCTTGAATTGGGTGGCTGGCTGGTTTCGAAATTCAAAACCGTTTGGCCGTAGGATGAAATTTTGTAATTGATTTTCCACAGGATAGGTTAGACCGGTCAAACTTTGAAGCCATTTTACTCAATTGCAATATTTTGGGTCTTGCGCGCACGATTTAAGCCAGACCGTTGCTTGTTTTGGCTTCATAATTTTTCCAATGTTTCACCTCTATAAGGCCGTCATTCTGAACTAGGATATCTTCAATCGGACAAGGGGAAGTGGCCGAAAACAATCATTGAAATGTCAAAATTTGAATACTTTTTTTGGTACACCTAAAAATGTAAGTTTGAGGCACTTAGGTACCACCTATTTCAATTATCCTAGTTCAATCTACAGTGCCAGGAGTCCTTTTGAAGGAGAAACAAAGACATTTATGATACGATGCCGCATTTAAAAAAAATCATGCGCGCAGTGAATTTTTTGCGTATTTTCGAGGTTCAGCAGAAAGACTACAGATCCTAGGTTATAAGGCCTAGAGTCAAACTTTTTTTTTTCAAAATGAACCTTAAAGAACCAGCTTTTTATTGGAAAACCCCACTAACCTTCAAATTTATTGGAAAGAGTTTACATGACAGCCTGAAATTTGCTAAAATTACGGTGTCGAAGACGAGTCTCCCCCCTTAAGTCGAATTATTCCCTTCTTCCGCTTCCTGAATCAACTTGCCACTGGCTTTGCAGTGAGGCCCGTTGAACCGAGGGATGAATCTTAAGTGTACTCATGTTTAACAACTGGCTTGTGAACTCAGTGTACTGAAAGAGCAAAATTTGCTCATCTTGACACGATTTGGCGTTGTGTGTCCTCCAAACCGATAAATGAAGCCAAAAAACGTTTAAAAATGAGAAATTTATGTGTTAGAAGGTATACTCATAGTGTACACCAGAACGCTGAGTGATTCACCACTCGTGTTGAACCACCTTTGCACCTGTTGCGACAGATTATGGGGAGGGGGCTGAGTGCCTCTCCGTTCGCCTTACTGACGGCACCGCACATCTTCGCCATGTTCATCCCACTGTGCTTCGCTGGAGACATGCTGGCCGAGTCGTGTGAGGCGGTAGGGGACGCTGCGTACAACGGAGCGTGGGATGAGGTAGCGTACCACAGTGGGCCAGAAGACCGGTGGAGGCGGCCAAAACCCTGGACGCGTTTTGAGCTCCAGAGTCGCTAAATGGGACTCGAACCGAACGTGTGACATCTGACCGAGGGGCAAACAACTTGAAATTTGGTGTACATTTACCTTGAAATAACGTTGAATTAACGCTGAAATGACGTTGAAATAACGCTGATATAAGGTGAAACATCGCAGAATTAATAACGTGAAATAATGGGTAATAACGTTGAAATGCTCTTGAAATAACGTGAATTTGAAATAATGGTGTACAAATTTTGACCAAGTTGTTTGCCCCTCGCATCTGACTGACAGGAAACGCCGTCGCAACGCCGGGTTCGCATCAGCGTGATGCAGGCATCGCGTGTCAAAGCCGGCATCAGAGGCATCGGGATCGGCCACTTGGACCGGCCGGCCTGCCGCAACGCGCTCAAATCGTGGTACTCCTTCGTGCAGTTCTTCGCCCGCCTCGGAGACCTTCAAGAGGCTCAAAAGGACTAGCCTGCGTCATTCAACTGTACCCTGTACCACTGAAAGCTGTATTTATCAATTACGCTTCGCGTCAGTACCCCAGTTATGCTGTTTTCTCCATCAGATTAATAAAAATGTTTGTGAACTTACAACCCATTCCTTTCCTGGTGAAATGGATCACTGTTTATTGATTGTAGTTCCCCACATCACGTACAACTTATTACGGTACTTCTCGAAAGGGGTAAGAAAAGTACACCGCCGGAAAAGAAAAGTACAACGTAAGGAATTGCGATTTCAAACCAGAAGACCGCCAATCTTGGCTTAATACAGGTTTACCCCCAAAGTGGAGAGTTTTCACTTGCCATTAGTTTAAGTTTCGTCAAAATCGGTCAATTGGTTCTGATTCTACATGGACTCATTATACACTCTGGCAAAAAGGTACGGAAAATTCTGTTAATTTTTTTGCCAGGATTCTCCGTAGCCCTCTTATCAATATTCTCCGTAGGCTCTTACAGTATTCTCCGTAGGGCCGTACAGTATTCTCTGTAAGTCCGCACAGTCTTCTCCGTAGGACCTGGAAGACTGTATAGTCCTACGGAGATCACTGTAAGGTCCTACGGAGAATACTGTGCTGTCCTACGGAAAATACTGTAAGAGCCTACGGAGAATATTGATAAGGGGGCTACGGAGAATTACCACAAGCTGTTTACAGAATTTTCCGTAGCTTTTTGCCACAGTGTAGGAGGTCCAAGAAGCCTTTTCATACAGATAAGTGGGCACAGCATTTTTGTACTCTTCCCCTTTCCACGTAAATGCCCAATAGTTTATTTAGTCTTATTCCATAACATGTGTTGACCCTTTTTGCTTGTCTCGCCTAATCAAAACTATTCCCGTGATCAATCCAATATTTATACCGCTTAAAGTTTTTTACAGGCTGTTCTTTTCTTCCCCAATGCCTGTACTTTTCTTCCCCAGCCGACTCTTTTCTTACCCGTTTCATTTTTACACTTAAAAAAATTTGTGTTGAAGCCTAAGAGCATCGAACGGCACTGTTTTTCAAAGATGATGGTCCAAGCTGGTGGTACCATACATTGGACTGCAGGCTGATTGTGTAGGAAGCTGTAATTCAAAGTACAAACAGTTTAAAAAAAGATTTTCATAGTCATTTTTTTTTCAACCATGCCGTTTAGTTCTAAATATTATATGTAGAACTGGGCTGAATTTATTTTTTGTCAGCGGGATGACCAATCTTTCTTCAACCACTGACGTGATGGTTCAGTGTAGTTTCAGTTCGGAAGCAGGTGTTCTTTCCTTACCCAAGCCTTGAGTGTACTTTTCTTACCCAACCTACCCCTAATCGACGGTGTTCATGACGGTGTCCTGTGCACAGGACTGTTTTCTTCCAGTGTGGGGAAGTGCAAATAATGAGTTCCAAGTGACATCCCAGTTCAATCAGGGCTATACTGCAGACGATATTGATCACCTCAAGCCAGTTGCGCCTGCCATTAACTACTGAATTGGTCATTACAACTTTATTGGGGGCCTATAAAACTGTTTCGATCGCTGGTGGAAGCGGCGGCTTTCTCTGGTCGTATACAGGGAACCCGTCATTGGCTCGACTGTGGCTCGTCTGTCGTGCTCATGTGGTATTGAGAGTTTTCGTAAGCATCACATCGATGGGTGATTGGACTACAAAGCGCGAACGTACACTGTAAAAAATGTTCGGAATTTTACCATACAGTGGTCTACGAAAATTCCTATACATGTATAGGAATTACTCAAATTCCGATACATGTATAGGAATATTCCGATTTGTATAGGTTTTTTGCTTTACGGGCTGAAAATGTATAGGAATATTCCTGTACATGTATCGGAATTTGAGTAATTCCTACACATGTATAGGAATTTTGCAGCCCTGTATAGGAATATGGCCAACTGAAAAAAAGGAATTTGCCATCAACCTCATGGACAGCGATACATATTATTGTATTTTGTCTTACACTGGTAATCAATGCGATTATTTGTTAACAACGTACACAATTCCCAAAAGCTGCTTGTTTGCCCACTGTCCGGATTATCCGCTAGATGGCGCTAGTGTCGTTTCGACGGACTTACTTCTCGGTGTACGCTGCGGCTAGGAATTTGGTTGGGTCAGGGGGCTCGCGACCCATCACTTTGTAAGAAAGTTGAGAACCTTTCAACTCTTACATCATTTTAACAGAGGTGATAATACTTTCACCTTGGGTGTCCTTTTGGTAAAGTCGAACTTTGCCAATTTGGAAGACCGTGATGGAGGATCAGTAATGATCCACACTCGATGGTCAATTACGGCGGAAAGTTCGGCCGTTGTATTAAATATCTGACAGTTCATCCGGTTAGGCCTGCCTAATTTAGAAATTGTGGTGGAAATCCTATACATGCATTGCAGTTACGCCATTCCGATGTATAGGAAAATTCCTATACAACGGATAGGAGAACGCTAATACACAATAGTCGTAATCCCGTACTGATGTATAGGAAAATTACCATACTAGTGCATGGTAAAATTCCTATACGTGTATATGTAAATAGCTTCATATACATGTATAGGAATTTGACTATAATTTTTTTTTACAGTGTAATCCCTTAACGAGTTCATCAATTGGATCCGATTTGAGGCTCTTTCGGCCAAAATGCCAGGCGATGCCAGGGCAGGGGGCGGTAACGGCCTAGGAAGCGCGTGAAGCCATGCGCGAGCGAGGTGCAGGGGTTACTTATTTTGCTTCCATTGTAAGATCTAGCCCGTTGATTGCAAAACGCTTTGCACAGATGAAAAGAGCACAAAATTTGGGTTGCATTAGGCCTAGTAGACTGCCCGATACCTTCAATTCAACCGAACACAAGGGCGGAATCATTTGCATCAACATGGCGCATTCGAGTTTTTCCTAAATTTTATGATTTCTCGTGTTTTTTGGTGTTTTTACTGCACCTTGATATTAGGTAAAAGGGGAGTTTAAAACAATTAGCCTAATGCACCCTAAATTTCAGGCCCTTTCCATCGGTGGAAAGCGTTTTGAAAACACAGTCTAGTTTTCGTTATCTCGAACAAGTGCGCAACCTCTGCACTGACGGCGCGAGCATCGCTTCACGCTCTCCGTAGGCCGTTGCCACCCCCTGGCCAGGGAGTCCAATGTTGCAATCATAGGCATTCCCTTTCACTTCAAATAGAAACTGATTAAAGCGAGTTTGCATTTCCAGCGATAGGGTATTCCAACGCCCTACGAAGCATTTGCTGCATTGAAGAATTGTAGAATTGCCTCGTATTATGAAGAAATGCTTCGTATTACGAAGGATTTAGCTTCGTAATACGAAGCATTTCTTCGTAGATATTACAATGCCTTCATTTTCTTCGTATTACAAAGCGGTTCTTTGTAGAGTTTTTACTGTGCACCAGCTTTCGTGGAAGATTTCGGCCAAACCAAGTATACACAGGACTTCGCAAGTGGTCGCCCCCGCGGTACTTGCCCAACTACGGAACTTCTGTAAAAAAAAGAAAAAAAAAGTTCCGTACCCGCGCGATCATGAGATCTTATAACAAGTGAACTTTCGTATTACATTTTCTCTGTACATTTTCCGTACAACAGTACGCAATGTTTGTACGGTGTGGGGGCAGTCGTTGTATGCATCCTGACTCCGTAGGGATGGCAGAAGCGAGCGCGCCAGAGACAGTCCTCGCCGCGGCAGGTGGGCCGCTGGCCAGCCACTTGCTCTGGTGGGTGTATGACGTCACTCCTCACGAACATCGGACACGCTTCCACAAACCAGTGGCATGGCTGCGTTCCTCGAAGGTAACTGACCTAACCAGGTCCTCCGGCACACTATCGCAAATTATTCGAGTGTAAAGAGGCACTGCAAGCCGCAGCCGCGGACTACGACCTAAAGTGTGCACTCAGTATGCCCTCATGCATACTTATTAAAGTACACACCTACGCGCACGCACTTAAGTTTGTAGTGAGGTGTCTGTAAATCCGTACAGATTGTCACTAAATCGATGAGATTCCTCGGTCCGAAAAAAAAAAAAAAAAAGGTTTGTCCATGCAACTGTTGAATCAGGGATCCAAGAGAGGACTTTAGAAATGCACAAGGCAGCCTTAGCAAAAATAAATAATTCTCGAGTTGTAATTATTTTGGAATTTGGCGAGCTCATGTTCTCACGGAAAACCTTGCGAAGTATTTTGAGTATACATTGTGCAAACTAATATACTTTGTTATGCTCTAAATACTTTTTTTATGACAAGCTGCTTTTTTTCGAAAGGCCTAAAACAGTTTGTAAGGTTTTCAGGGTGTATCATGTGAGGGCGATACACATGAAAAAAAAAAACTGTTCCTGATCTCAGATAGCCTATTGTTAAAAGGTTAAGAATTTCCAGGGAGTTCATGGGAAAAGCAGGGACCGTTTTTACCGTGCAGGCGCTATCGACGTGTGCAGAATCCATGGTCAGTTTTGTCCCGTGCCACTCAGGTTACCTTGGTTTTGGGTTTCGTGCTGCTGTTGCAACTTGTGTACGAAGCAGTTGCGATGCCGTTCGTCGACGCGCTGATCTACACTTTCGCTGTGCGCTACATTGCCGCAGGATACACGGGCCTTGCATCAAAACTTTTATACCGGAATCGTTGGAGGCAACTTCAAGAAACATTCCTTTCCATTCTGAAGATTTGCACTGATCTCGAGCGTGACGCCAATCCAACGTTGCAGGTAATTACGGTGTTTACGTCACACAGTGGGACAGAAGATCGGCACCGGCAGCCAAAACTCAAGACACATTTTGACGTTCGGAGTCGCAAAGCAGGAACCGAGCCAAGCGTGTGACCCCATCAATAGATTTGTGGTTTCGAGAGCTATCCGTTGGTGGGATGACACAATCGGTCCTGGTCCCATTTAGCGACTCAGAAGCGGTCAGGAGCTCAAAACGTGTCCAGGGCTCCACCGGTCCTCTGGCCCATGGGCCCATGCGTCAGACCAAAAAATAGTACACTCTAAATGTTCTACAGTGAGGATT